TTTGCAAGCAAGCTTTTCTAAAAGTTCATGTATAAATCAGCAGAGATATAAAGCAACTGTACAAGCTGTGTATCTATATAGAAGATTAGAACAGTAACAAGCATTTACAATCTTGGGCTTTACTTTATAAATCCATCAACTTAAAGTAAGGTTCGACTGAAAACTAAAGATGGCTCATATGTATAAACATTAAAAGATACCAAACAAGGAGGTTTCTTCAAGCTGCCTCTGCAAAACCGACTCTCAGCTTGCCAAAATCAAAGACGGTGTGGTAGCGACCCATGAAGACATCTCCCAAGATCCTGTGGCCAACGAAAACAGGTTCTTAATGAAAGGGAAGGATACTTTGAGTGATTCTGAAAGCAAAGTAAATGGTAAAAACATATATACCAGAGGGGTCCACGAGGAGGAGGGATATCGAATGCAGTAAATCCACTTATGCACTGAGCTACAGGACCCTCACCAACCTTGAGTATATACTGTTCACATTGCTCGCTATTTTAGAGAACGATACCGAAAAGGGATAAAAACCGAAAGGGGATAAAATTCTCCGTTCAAGCGATTTTCTTTTCTGTATTTACCTCTTCGGGTGCAAGGTCGAATATTTTGCCACCAATGGTGAAGGAAACAGTAGGCATGGAAGAAAGTTGTCCACAGTCGACGGCTGATTGTCCCATTGGACTCGGCATACGATCACATAGCTGCAGGGGAGTTAATTAGTCGAGTCAACAAGAATCGATATTCTGAAGAAAACCGATCTTTTTTACCTCATTGATATAGTTTATTATGCGTTCTTTGGTTTGATTCTGACGAAGTTGATTTTGCATCCAGACAACAGTCATCTCACATACAGAGCACATACCGTCGCGTAGACTGTCGGATGATTTCCCGGCATTCTCGTCTACCACACTCTCAATTCCCATACTACATGACCAACATAATTTCAGGGTCAGTAAATTCACCGAGTAAACGTGTGTGGTCCGATAAAAAGCATGTATGCCTCACTCACCTGACTCCTCGAGTTCCATCGAAAGTACACAAATTAATTTGAGAACATATCTTCTTCGGATCTGCCTGTTGAAAAAATCAAAAGAGCTCCATAAAAGGTATAAAGATTGGGTATCTTAAGCAGTATAAGACCAAAATGCTACGTTAAGAATCAACAAGTTAAAAACGAAAACGTTATCTTGCCTCAGATAAAAGCAAGTCCATAATAGTTTGCCCATATTGTGCGACAACGGCCTTGCATTGCTGGCTAACAACTCCTTTAGCTCCAATGGCGTGATTGATCATAGTTATAACAGGCTGAAAGAGAGAGACAAACATTGGAGTGAATAGCCATTTAACCCAACTGCAGAGACAATCACTGTATTTCTATTCAATCAAGTATGTTCTTGCATCAAAGGCTAACCGGTCTTTACGTCCAAGGATTATAAAGACACTGATTATAACAAGCTCAAGCTCAAGCCCACCGCTAGCAGGGAGAGGTTTCCACACCCTTCTAAAGAATGTTTCGTTCTCCTCCCCAACCGATGTGGGATCTCACGAATGGTTGATTAGCCATCTTAAAACGGAGAAGTCTCAACTTATTTATAAAAAAGTGTCATGCAATATGGTATATAGCACATGTGAAGCCAAGTTACAGATGACAGGGAAGAACAAGGTCAAGTCTATGTACGCACAGTTGGGCCAGCCAACAGTGAAGTTCCAGAATCAGCTATTGCTGAACAACCACCATCACAAAATCCTGAATCAACAAATTTCTGTAGTCAGAAGCACATAAACACAGAACTCAAACCACCTATTACAGAAACAAAAGAAAAAAAAAAAGAAAAACTCTCCTTTGCCTTTAATTAATAAGTGAAACATGGAAGCATACCAGTTGGTTCACCATCAATGAGAACATCGCCCATGTCGAACTACAAACCCGAAAGAAAAAATAAGCATGGGGTGTAATAACAATTAGAAGTAGAATGGATGAGATGTAGACTTGGTAACCAACCTGCCAGTAACCTTTCTGTGTGACAGGAACATAAGTGTGCTTGCCCCTATAATGCTTAGGGTCAACCCCACCAAACACAATTTCACCTCCTTCTTCCTCCTCAACGTTGCGGTTGAGCCAAAACGAAAAGACGGGTTCCTTAACCAGACCTTGTTCAACCATGTTATACCTGAGAAGAACATTACAAACGCCTCATTCAAGCCTCTCCATGAACCAAGAGGAATCTTAAACAAGAATCAGGATTGTTGGAAGAACATATCCTACCATACTGGGACAGCATTACCGACAGCGATCTCTTGAAAACCAAGTCCCAACAACCCATCAAACTTGGCCACCAGAAACGTAAGACTCGGTTCTCTGGTTGCTTCTATGAACACCTGAAAGGGACAATAGCAATAAAGAACAAACCATTGATATTCCAACTGTTCAATTCGATATAAACATAGTTAATGCCGGAAGTTACCTGTTCCTTTACGACTAGGTCTCCAACTTTGACATTGTCATAACTAAAGAAACCAGAGACTGCTCCAGTGCCATACCGAATTGAAGCAGATGTCCCTGCACAATGTCAATAAACCGAATTATTTTCGAGTGCAATTGTAGTAACAGCTCCGTGACATCGTGCAAGAACAAACTACAAACATCCCCACATCAAAATAAGTACCAATAATTACAATTCAATCTTGAACATAGACTTAAGAAAGTACCGTTTTTCTTGTATGAACTTGAGCGGCTTGACTTGTACCTGGCATGGAAATGACAAGCCACCTACAACAAAACCAAAAAGTTGAGTACATTCCAAAGGTATCATTTCTACTTAATGGTTTACGTTTCTGAATATAATCAAGGCGACAGATCCTTACAGAAAACAAGCACTTGGCAGAAGGCACCCACAGATTGGAGCTGCCAGTGTCAAAAATCACAGTGAACTTTTGTGGGGGTGTACCAATGGCGATCTCACCATAGTACTGAGCGTCCAGGTAGTTCTTTAACGCAACAATATCAGTATCAGAAGATTCTCCAAGATTACCCTTAGGATTATACTTTCTGAAAGCAGCTTTCAAAATCTCTGCATCCTTGGACTCAACGCGGGCAGCTAAACGGTTCTCTGGGTCTAACTTAATCTTCTTTAATCCAACTCTAAGCAACCCATCATTGGATGCAGACCACACAATATTAAATGAAACCAACAAGAACAAACACAAGAAAGCTGCTTTGGAGTGGTACGAAGCCATTGGCAACCTACAAGTCCAAAGTGAAGTTGAGAAATCATGAATTATAACCTGATACAAGTCAAGATAGATGAGCCCTAAACTATTAATAAAAACCTAACCTACTCAAACAAGCCCCAAACTGTTCAATTCTTACATGGAAAAACTATGATTCAAAATCAAATTTCAGGCGTGACCCTCTTGAATTGTTCCAGATTGAGGTTAAACAATAAAGTATAAACTATGAACTTCACCAAATTGCAGAACAGAAGAATAAAAAGAACCCTTAAAAAGATGCGATCAAATGGCGTAACAAACCCATACACATGCAAAAAGCTTACAATTCAAGACCCAAAAACATGATCAGCAACCCGACAACCCCACGATCATCGAAAAAGTAATCAGATAACAATGAACTGAATCCGGATAGACAAACAAAAAACTATAATCACATAAACAAACAACAATTCAAAAAGTAAACAAAACCCATTTACCAACTTGAGGATCAAGTAAACAATGAAGTCCAAATAACAAAACCAAAAACAACTAAAAAAAGGCGATCGAGGCATAAAAATCAGAAAACCCACCAGAAAAAGATTTCAGACGAACAAGAGAATTGGGGAAATGATACGCGAATCTGCCTCTTTATAAACAAAGCAAGAATACATTGGAAGGAAGAAGCGACTGTTAACCGACCTGTCCACTCCAAAAATAAAAGAAATCAAACGGACCCAACTCATCAACCGGTTACAATTCAAGCTCAAGCGTTGGAAAATGGCAGAGAGGATTTGATCTGTGCCGTCCGTTTTGGAGGGACAGAGTTGTCTTTTAATCGGACGAATCTTGTAGAGTCGTCCACGCATCGGACCCGAGGATTTCAATACTCGGATCCCGAAGAAAAGCATTTCGGCGGGTTGAGAATCTTGTGCAACCAGTACTAGAGAGAATACGGTGTTCCCGTTTAATATCAACCGTTGATCGTGTGATGGAGGGATCAGAGAGAAAGTGAATTAAAATAAATAGGAAACGTTACGTGTCCGCAAAGAAGGCAATGTGTTGGTTAATTGAGAGACGACGTGTCGTAAGGTGATATGAAAGGCAATGGGAGAGGAAGATGTTATTGTGTGCTTCTGTGTATAGGAAGCTATGGTGTGGCCTTCATTCTAACAAACTTCTTTAAATGGTAAATTTATCATTTCATACCATCAATGTGACATTGAACTGTGGAGAGGAAGGAAACATTCCATATAAGGCCGTTGGCCCCTAAAGGATGTGGACGGTAAGATCTCATATTCATTAGAGAGAAAAATGAAACATTTACTAACAGTGGGCTTGGTCTGTTACAGATACTCCTTATCGATCGAGCCATGTTTGAAATTCACGAGGCTCAAAGTCTAAATGTAAAATAACTAGCACAAACAAGAGAGTAACCGATCTAGATTGTACCTTATTCATGTACCTTATTCATGTATTTAAGTTTGAAAAATCTTGATAACATTGAGTCACATAGTAGCGTTGACGTAACTTCAAATTCATCGTATTTAGTACATTGACCAAGATTGAGCTAGGATTCTTGGCATCGAGTGAGGCATGATTCACCCAAGTTGTAGCATTATGACGCATATCTTATAAAATTTTGTTGTCTACACGCTAAGACACCAATTTTATTACATTCTTTACAGAACTTCATTATAAGATTCTACATCGATCAAATAGAGAAACGAAACATTCTTTATAAGAGTGTGAAAATCACTCCCTAGCATACACGTTTTAAAAAACCTTGAGAGGAAGCTCAATAAAGAAAGCTAAAAGAGAACAATATCTGTTAAGAGTGGATTTGAACAGTTAGACTGACACTTTATTCTGAAGTAATGATTACAAACATACACTTCTAACGCACAAAGACACCATTAGTAATAGCCTTGAGGATACTAGTCTTCCTATTCCTCAACAAACAAAACACAGTAGAAGCATGCAATGACACTAAAGCATGAGCCCAAAGCTTCCATTGGAGCACACAAAACCAGAAAATTGGAACAGCAGCCATCCCAGTAATCATCAATGGAAGCAAAGCCGTATCTTTACCATAGTAAAGGAAGAAGGCGGCACCAAAAGCCAGCACCATACACAGCACAGAAACAAACAGGGATCCAAGCCCGCATACCAACTCCAATGGCAACCAAAACAGAAAATCATTCTCGGCACACCGCGACGTCAAGATCGACAAAAACAACAGTACTGCAGTCGACGAAGACACCAATGCTATCCCATCTGATATCACAAACACAGTGAACCATTTCTTCTCCACAAATATGGGAAGCCCCGAGCTCTCGTTCTTGCCTCCTGGCACTGTGAACGCTGCTGTAAACACGACGGTCGCTATCAAAGTTGCTACAAGCATGCATGAATTTGCTGTCCTCTTCACCCATTTCTCTCCTTCTTCCTTCAGCTCTTTATGCTCTCTAGTGAATATTTCCCGCGCGGTTTCCCCTCCGCTTCTTTTTACCCTCGTCGTAAGCTCCACTATATTCTCGACTACCTTAAACCATAGAAGCTCGCTATGCATTTGAAACACTGCTCCCGAGACTCGATCGAGATGCTTCGGATTAGCGCTTTTGGCTGCTAATTCAAGCAAGCTGATTTTTTTCGCTTCAAAATAGTATAATAAGTCATCTGGGTTGAAGAGTTTCATATCATAAATTAAATTGAACACACCCTCTTGTCGATTCTCGACCGCTACGTGAAATATACTCTTCCCATCGTTGTCGAATATCCGTAGAAGATCAGGATTTTCATGCAGCAATATTTCTAGAAATTCAACATTTCCAACTCTTGCAGCATCATGTAGCATGCTTGATGGATGTATTACGAAATTCATTAGATTTTCTTTTGAAGTTGCATTTGTTTTGACAATACTCCACATGTTTGCAACCATTTGATGGGCTTTTATTTCCATGGTTGTTTTTTTGCATAAACATTTGAACACTGTTAAAAAAAAAATCTACCGTAAGTGTTTTAACGTGAAATGATGAGGTTTTTTATGGTAAAAAAAAGAAAAGAATTAAAGAAACTAACCGCTCTTTTCGATGCATGATTGCCACTTGGCTGTCATCTTGTAGCTTGCAATAGTGTTAGGCTTCCGGGCCATTATATGCAAGAGTGTATGCAATAGTGTGTCTTGATTGATGTCTAGTTTGGTCGCTAACCAATCCTTCCCCTTTAGAATAATCAAAGCTATATCTGTAACGAAAATGAAACACGATGAGCTCATGAATTAATAAAAGGACTATCGAACCACTTGAGAGCCGTTCTAGCCCTCACTCGTTAGGAAAGGTTAGGATACCAATGAAGGGACTGAACCATTCAAAAGGTGTCACATTGTGCACTCTGAGCATAACCTCTCATGGCTTTGCTTTGGGCTTCCATGGTAGTTTGTTCTCCTCCCCAACCAATGTGGGACATCACAATCCACGGGCCAGCTGTTAGCAGATATTGTCCTCTTTGGGCTTTCCCTTTCGTGCTTCCCCTCAAGGCTTTAAAACGCGTCTACTAGGGGAAGGTTTCCACACCCTTATAAATGGTGGTTTGTTCTCCTCCCAACCAATATAGGACATCACACACTTACTTATCTATTGAATGAAGGGACCAACCGAATCTTTTCCCTTAGGCAATGTAGAATTCCAAAAATGTTGTAACGACCCATGTCTAGGATTTGGATCAGAATTCAAAATCCAGACTCAACATTTGATGGCTCCTACATTACCCTCGAACATGGTCACATTCAACATGTCTTGTCTTCCCTCACATACATCCTAGAAAAATTCCTACAAGCTTACCCAATATAGAATTGCTCCAAGCAAATAATGCTACAGCACCTTATTGGTATGACATAACAGTGACTTTCAGATACAGTCTCGGTTCATTCATTTATCCCTCTCGGTTCATTCATTTATCCCTCTCGTTTACTCAAATATCAATAACTATTTATGTATTACCCGTAAAAATATTGACACGAGCTAAGAGTAGGAAACAAACCATAATGATTTGCAGAGATGGCACCAACAAGAAGCTCCAATTCCATTTCTGGGGCAATATGATCCTTCTGACTGAGGAGATAAGAAACCATGTCGTTGTGTTTATATCTTGCAGCAATTAAAACAGGGGTTACATTTCTAGACCCACCAATCAAATCTTTACGCTTTTCCACCATCGACTTGGCGATATCAAGGCCGCCTAACGTAGCAGCGATGCAAAGGGCTGTGTTTCCATAGCTATTTTCAATGCCCAAGTCTTCATCGCTCAGTCTCGCCACTAATTTCTGCACAAAACCAACCTGATTGCATCTTGTAGCAATATGCAGAGAAGTCTCGTTTCTATCCTCGCTTATAACCATTGAAAGAATTCCCGGATTTTCCCTTTCGAGTTGCTCCGCCGTTTCCCAGTCGCCGTTCATTGCCGCTTTGTGCAGGCGACATCGAGCGTCGTCGTTGCCCGAACCATTGCCCTCTGAAAGGCTCCTCCCTGAAACACCAAACCAAACCAATAATTGTATGAGCACATGGTATATTTACTTTAGACCACATACATCTCTATATCATGTTAGGAATCACGACTCTCCACAATGGTATGATATTGTCCACTTTGAGCATAAGTTCTCGTGACTTTGGTTTTAGGTTTCCCAAAAGGTCTCATACCAATAGAGATAGTATTCTTCACCTATAAACCCATAATCATTCCCTAAATTAGCCAATGTGGGACTTACTCCCAATAATCCTCAACAATCCTCCCCTCGAACAAAGTACCTTATAAGCCTTCCCTAAGGCTTATGGAGCTCTCGAATAGCCTCCCCTTAATCGAGGCTCGACTCCTTTCTCTGGAGCCCTCGAACAAAGTACACCATTTGTTCGACACTTTAGTCACTTTTGACTACACCTTCGAGACTCACAATTCTTTGTTTGATATTTGAGGATTCTATTGACATGGCTAAATTTAGGGAATGGCTCTGATACCATGTTAGGAATGACGACTCTCCACAATGGTATGATATTGTCCACTTTGAGCATAAGTTCTCGTGGCTTTGCTTTGGGCTTCCCCAAAATGCCTCATTCCAATGGGAGATAGTATTCCTCCTTTCTAAACGCACGATCATTCCCTAAATTAGCCAACGTGGGACTTACTCCCAATAATCCTCAACATATCATACCATCGTTGAGAATATATTTGACACCGCGAATCAGAGCATCGGTGAATCTGTGAATTTTGGATTTGAGCCTATTGTGATAGTCATTCCCATTCACTTGCGGCAGCTCGACCTCCAACACATTGTGTACGGAAGAACTGAAACTCCTCATTTTTGGCTAATTAACCTTTCTTTAAAATGTTGATCGATGCTTTGAAAAGCAATGAGATTTGAGATTTGCAGACCCTTTAAAGAAATTTGAAGATCTGTGAGTGTATTGACTCCAAATGAATTGACTTTTCAAAGTCAAGCCAATTTTGAAACATCGGAGTCTCCGAAGACTTCCAATTTGTTTGGATTTTGTCTTTTTTTTTCCACATAGAAAAGTATGCGACCTTCAAACATTCATCCATCCATCCATTTCATGTTTGCTCTATACCAAAATACAAACGGTAGCTTCCTCCCTTTTCTGTATGTCAATTACAAAGAGAAAAAAGAACTTTTCTTTTTCTGAATCAATCAAACAAACAAGAAGAGTCAACCTTGGTAGTCCGCTTGAGGGCAAGTGGATCGTTTATGACGAAAAGGATTTCGGAAGAACATTCTTAACACGTGCTATATGATTGGGACATAGGAACCTAACCTCATGGGAATGTGCTAATTTCAAAAACTCTCGTCATCAGTTCAGATTGTAGGTGGTAATTCGTCAATATGAAGTTGAAATTCCTAGTAATCGCACCGGTGAATTTATTCCTGGGCAAACTCACTATGGGAGTTATCCATCCTCAAAGTCATTACCTTTTAGTTGAATCCCCTTTATCTTCGATTCACAAAAATAAAATGGACGATCCGTGTCAACAGAACACAACTCACTCTCTATGGGAAGCACTCGTACTCTTTATTAACACAAATCGAGAAGAGAATACAAGACACTCTAGAATGCTACTACTTTCTATTACTGAGATTTATTGGGATGATAAATAAGTAGGATGGAGGGTATTTTTGGAATTTCTTGGGAGGATAAACTAGGTAGGATAGGGGGTATTTTTGAGATTTTAGGTAAGATGGAAGGGTATTTTTGGAATTTCTCGATGATAAACTAAGTAGGATGGAGGGGTATTTTTGGGATTTCTTATGATAAACGAAGTAGGATGGAGGGATATTTTTGAAATTTCTTGGGATGATAAACTAAGTAAGTGGAGGGGTATTTACAGGATGATAACGTTTTTACTAAAGTATCTAAATCATTTACCTAAATTTATTACTAAAATTACTGAATCATTCTCCTAAATTTATTCCTAAAAGCCTAAATCATTTTCTTAACATAAATATAAATTCAGTCTCTCATATAATACAATGTTTGGGGTTAACACTCTTGAGCTAATGATGATATTTTAACAAACGGTTCATTACATCAGAAAGAATTCACTAGACCCATGTCAATTATTCGCTTTATGTCATAAAAAAAATCTCGAGACAAAATATGTCATAAGGTTGTTTGTGTGTGTATAGTATGACTGATTCGAACATAATTTAATAGATAAAATATTAATTTTTCACAAAATTGAAACAAAAAAAATATATCATTATTAGCTCAATAGAGTTATATTACCAAAATTGAAACAAAAAAAATATATCATTATTAGCTCAATAGAGTTATATTAATGGGTAGCCAACGATAAACATTAGAACCCTTTGATGAGCCTATTGTTGGATAAATACGACATCCCACCGGCATATATTGCTGCGAAACAATCAGTCAAAAGTTCCCATTGGAGCACACAAAACAAGAAAATTAGACCACTAAACGTCCCACCAATTAGCAATGTAATCGAGCAAATATATTTTCCAAGGAGCAGGAAGAGGTATGCATCGAAGGCCAGCACCATTGCCAGCAATGAAAGGAAGAGGGATCCAATGCCAACAACCAATTCCAATGGCAACCACAGCAGAAAGTCTGATTCCTCACACCGCGACCTCTGCATCAACCAAAACAATAGCGTTGCAAATGAAGATGAGATCAAGGCTATTGCATCTGAGATCACGAACACAGTCACCCATTTGTTGTCAACAAACGTGGGTGAGCGTGACCCATAGTTCATGCCGCCTGCAAACAAAACTATAATGGCTATTGATATTGCAGCTCGCATGGATGAATTGGCTGCACTCTTCACCCACTTTTCTCCTTCTTTTGCAAGCTGTGTGTGTTCTTGGTTGAATAATTCTCTTGCTGTTTGATTCCCTTTCTTTATTCTTATTCTACGTTCTACTATATCCTCTACTTCCTTCATAATATTAGGTAAATTTTGTCATCATTACGGTACACTATATATTGCTACAATATCACTTGTAAAATAATTTTGTGTTTTTACGAGCCCGACCCACGAGGTAAATGACTCTCCACACTAGTATGATATTGTCTACTTTGAGCATAAACTCTAGTGGTTTTGTTTTGGGTTTCCCCAAGAGGCCTCATAACAATAGAGATAATATTCCTTTCTAACAACCCAGATTCACCGCTAGCAAATATTGGGTTTTCTCTTTCGGGCTTCCACTTTGAGTGGTCTCTCGTGGCTTTGCTTTGGGTTTCCCCAAAAGACCTCTCGTGGCGGGCTTCCAAGGGCTTTCCTTTTTGGGCATCCACTTTGAGCATAAGCTCTTGTGGCGGCCTTCTACTTTGAGCATAAGCTCTCGTGGCTTTGCTTTGGTTTCCCGAAAATGTCTCATACCAATGGAGATAATATTCCTATGTAAGAACCTAGAAGCTTTGCTTTGGGTTTCCCCAAAAGGCCTCTCGTGGCGGGCTTCCATGGGCTTTCCCTTTCGGGCGTCCACTTTGAGCATAAGCTCTTGTGGCGGGCTTCCACTTTGAGCATAAGCTCTCGTGGCTTTGCTTTGATTTCTTGAAAAGGCGTCGTACCAATAGAGATAATATTCCTATGTAAGGACCCAGAGGCTTTGCTTTGGGTTTCCCCAAAAGGCCTCTCATGACGGGCTTCCATGGGCTATCCCTTTCGGGCATCCACTTTGAGCATAAGCTCTCTCTCGTGGCTTTGCTTTGAGTTTTCCCAAAAAGCCTCTCGTGGCGGGCTTCCATGGGCTTTCCCTTTCGAGCGTCCACTTTGAACATAAGCTCTCGTGGCTTTGCTTTGGTTTCCCAAAAAGGCCTCATAACAAATATTGTCCTTTTAGGCTTCCGCTTTAAAAGCGATCTACTAGGGAAGGTTTCCATTCACTTATAAAGGGTTTTTTGTTCTCCTCCCCAACTGTGGGACATTAGATTCTCACTTATAAACCCATGATCTTCCCCTAAATTAGCCAACCTGGACTCACTCTCAATAATAATCCTCAACATTGATATCTCTAATTAAAAGTACCTTAAACCATAGAAGCTCCTCATGCATTTGAAAGAACGATCCCAAGACACGTTCAAGATGACTTGAATCTACTCTTTTGGCAGCTAATTCAAGCAAGCTGATGTTTTCTTCATTGAAATAGTATAAAAAGTCCACTGGGTCGAAGAGCTTCATATCATAAATTAAGTTGAAGACACGCCGTTGTCGATTCTCAACTGCCATGTGAAATATGTTCTTCCCACTACTATCAACAATCCGTAGAAACTCAAGATTTGTATGAAGTAACACTCTCATAAACTCAACGTTTCCGACGCTTGCAGCATCGTGTAGCATGCTTGAGGGATGTAAAATGAAATCCAAACTCTTATCTTCTTCAATCTTATCCTGAACTACACTCCACATTAGCTCAACCGTTTGACATGCTTGTATTTGCATCATTTTCTTCTTGTATATATATTTGAAACCTAAGATGGAATCAAAATTACAAATATTTCAATTAATTAAAATTCCCTAATAGTTTAAACTTACTTCAAAAATATTTTTAAATTTTATAAAGAAAATTTAAAAGATATACTTACCATTAGTAAATGGATAAAATGGAAGGTAAATAAGACGTTAGAGGTTAATATTACTTTTAAAAAAATCATGAATATTTTTTAAATATAGTATTAATAGAAAATATTAAAAAAAATGAAGAATATTAATGACTTAATAAAAGTTTTTAAGATATTTTTGAAATATTAAAAAAAAAAAAAAAAAAAAAAAAA